AAAAGTTGTATATTTAATATTAGTAAATGGACATGAACTAACAATGAACATTTGTATTTTTATTAACTAACGTTAACAAAGAATAATAAATACTGTAACAAATATACTGCTTACTGTTAGTTAATGCATTAACGTTAATTAATCAGACCTTATTTTAAAATGTTACCAATTTTTCTGCCATGTGTTTGTGTTTATATATTTATAAGACATTTTTGTAATAGGAAGTACTCTGTTTTTCTCAGGAAAAGTGCGTGGGGCCCAATGGTGTTCCTGGGTATAACCATGTTATTAACCTGGCCAACAGTCTGGTCGAGCTTAGAAATCATGGATTTGTCACACAGCGAAAGGTGGACGAGATTGTCGCCCTGTGGGATATGCTGTCAGAGCATGACAAAGGTGGTGTTGTCCACCCGGCCCGAGCCGAAGACACATTGTGCTTAAACAACAGTCATAGCGATAACTTTGTGACTCCATGCATTGATGGTCTAAAAAGGTACGTGTGCCAGAAGATTACATAAATGTTCTTTTTTAATCTTTATTGAAATTCCTTAGAAATAACTTGCGTTCCCTTTTCCATGGATTTGCTACAATGTCAGCCGTCTTGTCGCAGCCATTTGCCTCGCTCTTAGCCACATTCACCCTGCTGGTCAGACCATCGCTGGCTTCAGGGTCAACAGATGGGCTGCCATCCTCCACGACTACAACATGATCAGGGACATCGTCCAGGACAGCGCTGCCATCTCGACCCGGACACAGATACAGCTGCTTGAGATAAACCAACGGACACTGTGCCAGTGGTAATTGATTATTAATATGCAGCTGTATATTAATTATAATTACATAGATATTAAATACTGTATCATGTTTTCTGTACACAGGTACAATGCCAGGAAACAGAGGCAAGAACAGTTGGTTTTGCACCAGTGCACTGACAACATGAAGGCGTCTGAGCCTCTATTTCCTGTACAACACAATGTTCCAGAGCCCTTTCGAAATGGACATGTAGGCGATGTAATTAAAGTAGTGATCGGGGGTTCCGAGCCCTTTCAAACAGACCCAGAGCAAAGAGCTGCTGCCACCGGGCCCCCTAGTCCAAAGGTGCCTAGGACGACTGCTTGGCGACGGAGGAAGGCAGAGGAAGAGGCAGCCCAGCGGGGGTTACCCCTGAAGCGGCCTTGTGAACAGTATGTTTGTAAAAAGTGTGGCAAACCAAAGACAAAAGAATTCGGTCACAGCCAGTTCCGCGGCGTTCACTTTTGTGCCAAAGCCTCTGGAAAGACTGTAGAGCAGTGGATGGAGGAGATGAGGAGGGCAAAGTGAGCTAATATGGACATTAATATGGAAAATTTCTTTTTGTTTTTATTTGTAGATTCCATTGTTTTTATATACTTTGTTTGTAAATACTTTGATAGTACTCTTTAGGTGATTATTTATAGTTTTTCACTTACCGGTTTGTCATTTGTGAAATGGCAATAAAGGCCTTTTTATTCTCATCACAGTGGACATTTCTTTTTTCAAATGAACAGTTTTAATAATAATAATTAATAATTCGTTACATTTATATAGCACTTTTCTGGGTACTCAAAGCGCTTTACATGAACGGGGGGGGGGGAGTCTCCTTATCCACCACCAGTGTGCAGCATCCACCTGGATGATGCGACGGCAGCCATATTGCACCAGAATGCCCACCACACACCAGCTTATTGGTAGAGAGGAGACCGAGTGATGAAGCCAATTAGTGTATGGGGATGATTAGGAGGCCATGATGGTCAGAGGCCAATGGGCGAATTTGGGTTATATATAACGAACTGGTTGTTTCAATAAGTTTTGTGTAGTATTTTCTTTACTCTTTAATTCAAAATCTATGTCTAAAAAGGGTAATATTTCATGTATTTGAGGTCTGAGATGTGGGAACGGTGAAGAGAGAGAGGGCAAAATTTTGCATTTTAGGTCAGCATTGCCATCTAATCAGCCAATATTGTCTTAAATAGCCTGCACAGCACTTCATGTTTTATAACATGGGATTTTGACCAAATGTATTCAATCTTGATTTTTGTCAAATGTTGCAACAAGATTTTAGATATATGGTAATAAAAAATATTTTTAAAATACCTTAAAGTAACTACAAATGAGCATTGAACAATGAGCGTTTTACAACTTACTTTTAACTTAAAAAGTAGCTGTGACTTTCTCATTTCTCCATCCCCTCACGTTCTCATTTACAGTAAGAACACCTACACAATTAAATAACTGTACCTCTAAGTATCGCACGTTCCACTATCGGCCGTTCTGAACCCGCTCCCCTCCCCCGTCACTCGTTTACAGTAAGAAAACGTATTTGTATTAAAGTACTTAGTACTGTTGCAAAGACAAAATGCAATTAAAACTGAGAAACGTGTTTAACTGTGTTTAGATGTTTAACCTTTAATAGTTACAGACATTTAAAAGCACTCCCCCTAGTGTACAAATGTTGTATTACAAATGTTGGTGTTCTATACCGTTTGTCCCCTTTTCTGTTTCAAACCACAAAGAGAGATTTTTTTTAGATGTGCTGCTCTCATTCGTCCATATAATGGCAGTGAATACTGACCATTAAAAAGATGCAAAAGTATCATAAAAGCGCAGACTATAAAAACAGTTGTAATATAATGTGGCGAGTGCTAAAAGGTGAAAATGTTTTAAAGGTTGTTGCAAACTCAGTCATTAATCGTATAATCGCGACATGACCATTCGTGAGGGGCACGTGAAATGATTCTTACTTTTCTTGGTAAGAGTAAACCAGGGTGATTATTTTTTAAGTCAGCGAGAAAACATAATTGCGCCACTAGATGGTGGCAAGTGAATGTATTTTGAGTGTCATTTACACTTTTAATACTAATACACACCAAGGCTGCGTTATCTGATCAAAAATGCAGAAAAAAAACAATGTAGTGAATTACTGCTCCAATTTAAAATAACTTTTAAATCTATTTGAAAATATTTTAAAGGGTTAGTTCACCCAAACATTTAAATTAGCCCATAAATTACTCACCCTGAAGTCATCCTAGGTGTATATGACTTTCTTCTTTCAGACGAATCCAGTCGG